CGCGATAAAAGAATGCAAAAATAGACTTGGAATATTATCGATCGCGAACGTGAGAGAATGTGAGTGAGAATTTCCGAACCCTGCCTGCAGCACTTCGATGCCTTCCAATCGACGCTAACAAAATATTCAACCTGTTTCTGACGATGGCTTTGATGACCTAAAATTGGAGTGCTATAACTTGTTGCGGATCCAGGAATACCCTCAGATTTTTCTAGGTCTTCCATTATCAGCTACTAACGTCTGATAAGATCGCTCTGTTTATCAAAAAAGTTTAGTTGAGACTTGCATCGCTGAACTGGTATGGAAGTAGTTAGAGGGCTGACCAATGCCTTGAGTGCAGTTTGGCTGTGATACAGACATGTAAACTCCTACAAATTCTCCTATTTTTGCAATCGTATCCTCATTATCTTTGATATCAACTCTATATTCTGGCCTAGTGTCCATTTTTGGAACCATTCGTAAAGACGCAATTAATTTATAACCTCTTAAGGAGAGTTAAAGTCAATCCACCTTAGGGCATACCGTTGCAAGCTGCAGGTTTTGGCAGTTTATCAAGAGCAATGGCAGCAGTTGTAAAGACGTCTTCCTTACTGTACACGATGATATTTCTGGGAAGTTAAACAAAGAGAATTTCCAAGCTATTGATTAAAATCTGCTCCATCATACCATTGATGCATAATTGACAATGTATCTGAACCCAGAAGTATAAGTCCAAAAAATATCTCTTAGGAAGAGATCCCAGATTTTGGGTAAAAGTTATTTACTGCCAGTTTGTTATTTTTGCTCTTTTTTATGATAAATATCATCGAGTCGTTCAAAAAAAACGTTTACAAGGGTGAATTTCACCTCCAACATCAAAATTTAGGGCATCAAAATGAGCAAACGTATTTTCACAAATAAAGTTAATAACGTGAAGATAGCCTTTTGGAAGCTTCATTTTCCAAACCCACAAAATTTTAGCCGAGTAACAAATGTCGGTATTTTGTCCTTAAATGTTTTACGCTCTTTCACCTTTTAAATGCCCTATAATATGACAGCAGCGAATAAAGAAGTATTACCAGATATGTACGTCTTTGAATCCTATTAGTAAAAACTACTTACTTCTCTCTCAACCCAATGCAATGCTCTTAACGTATCGACTGATGTCCTAAAGTGATGTCTAAACATTACCAAATTACCGTTAAAACAAAATATGTGTAAAAACGTATAAAAAATACATAAGTACATATTTACATACGTATTTATGTAGCTCCGCGAACGGAAAGGTAAAAGTAATAAAACATCCCTCATCAACTTTGCGCTGACAACTCACTAATCACTCTTCGACTGACACACTAACAACTTATTTCTCTGCCCTGCAGTGCAAATAACGTTGAGACCTTCATTGCCAATAAACACGTAAATTGCCACTTCAGGTGTGCAAAAGCAGGAGCACTAAAATCACTTGCCGATTTGTGCACATATGTACATATGTAAATAAGTATGTGTTTAGGTAACGGAACGGAGACAGAGATGGTGCGTGCGTCGTTTGCCTGTTTGTTTTAGGGTAAACAGCTTAAACGATATGTCTAAATAGCCAATTTAATAGACATTTGGCTCAGACCCAATTGATCGATAAGTTAGAATAAAGTGCAAATCTTACAGTATATTTACATACATGTGCATATAGACATTGTATCCCTGTGGGGAAAATCTCTAGTTCTGAACTGGTGCGCTTCTAGTACTACTGGTTCGCGATAAATCCCTTTTACATGCAAACAACTGGCGAATTTAACACAGCGATGTCATAGGAATCGGAAATTGTCCCCCGCTGCATTACCTTTTCTATAAAATCGACAGACGAAAAAAGTAACAAGATATTTTCAAACAGTATTTTTGGTTTTACCATGGTAGCGATTTTTAATTATTTACAAAGAAAAGTGTTTTCAAGCTGAACTCAAATTTGCTTGAATGAATGTAAAGCAAATTGGGCATTTGAAAACACATTTACATACCTTTGATTGTAGCTGAATTTGCAGAGGTTCTGGCTATTATTGGTTAGATTCCCAAAATGTTAAAACGTTAACACAAATTTTAGTTTTGTATTACAAAACTATGAAAAAGTATCTGCGAAGTGCAGACTGAAAGCGTATTTAAATGAAAAACCCGCCAAGAAAAAATCTATTTAAAGTAAACAAGCCACCCGCTGCATCCCTATTTCGGTAGTTCCGAACTAGTTCAAAGTTCGCCAGATAAGATCTAGTTCGTTCTGCATCCCTTTTTCTATAATTTCGAACCAGTTCTAAATTCGTCAAGTTAGATATACATAGATATCTAAAATTAAAATTGTTTTTTAAAATTACCACATCGCGCTGCTTTTGAACTGGTGGCGATCTAGTTACTATCGGACTGGTTCGTTTTTGGCGATAAAGATCTAGTACGGAACTACAAATTTAGTTCACCAGTTCGGAGTTTCCCTACAGGGATGTTGTTGTTGGGGTTGTGTTAGCGGCAAACTTGTGGATGTATGTAAGTAAAAGTCACACCGCTCAGAGGCATGAATGCGCCTTTTGGTTTCAAAATAATTTATGAGCTTATTTGTTGACACACGAATAGTGATCAAACATCTCGCGGCTGTGAGCAAGAAGCACACTCATTCCTAAAAGCGAGTATTTGCCAATACTTACAGATTACCAGACACATTTATAAGTAAATAAAGTAAATAAATAGATTGAACTGCTTAGATATGTTGTCTTTGAAAAGTGATTACCTGTGTAGTCTTGTACACACACTTATTTATTAGCACATCACAACTATTCAATGGCTATGTAGTGTAATTAAGAGGTCAAAAAGCAAATCTCGGAAGCTGATAAATATTTACTTTCCTAGTAAAGCACAGAAAATGATTTGTTTCGAAAGCTAACTATACTCACGGAAAAAAGTATTGGCACAGCGAATTTTGCACAATATATGCACCAATTTCTGTTCTAATATTTTTGCGCTAATTTCTTATAAAAATATTGATCATTCTACAACAAAGGATATAAAAATATAATTTCAAAACTTTTTGCAAAACTCGCGAAAATTCAGCAAACTTTAAACTTTTTAATCAGATTTTTTAGAATTTCTTTGAGCATGCAGATTTTTAGCTCTAAGTAGCTACGAATTACGGTTGGTTTTTGCTATTTTTTTCACGAAGTCTCCACCATAAAAAAAAAAATTTTTCGAAAATACTTTATTTGGAAAAAATGCAATACACCTTCAACAAAAAAAAGCTCAAAAATCAATTCGATTTTGAACTAAATCTGAATTTACTACAATTTAATGGGCTAAAAAACTGCATGCTCAAGAAAATTCTAAAAATCTGATTAAAAAGTTGAAAATTTGCATGAAAACTTCCTGAAGTTTCGCGAGTTTTGCACGAAGTTTAGAAATTATCTATATATTTATGTTTTTTGTTGTAAATTAAACCATATTCTTATAAAAAATTAGCGAAAAAATATTAGAATAGAAACTGGTGCACATATTGTGCAAAATTCGTTGTGCCAATACGTTTTGCCTGCAGTGTATGTTTAAGCTAAATACACAGTGAAATTAAATTCTCTCTGAATAATCTGAGTGAGTTTCTACCGAAAAAGGTTACCTTCTATTTGCCCTCTAAAAACAAGAGGGCAATGAGATGGCAAACTTTTTTGTAACGAAAATGCCATAAGTAAAGTCTTTATACTTGGCGTCAGGCCATAAAATATTTCCTTTTCAGCCAATACGAACATTTCCTCAACAATCATTTTAAGCTGCATTAATATTTATGAAGAAAGAAAAGGCCAAAGAAATAAGTGATCAACTTTAACTTTGAATTCCAAAACTTTTACTAAATAAATATCCTCTTAAAAGTTACTTCTCCCCAAGAATAGTTCAGAGCAGCAAATTTTACAATATCAAGGAACATACGTACATATGTACAAATTACAGTTATATAAACGAGACATTTTTCAATTTACTTTAATCACACAGGTTTTCTCTGAACGCCACTATAAATCCTCATGACAATTGCAAGCTGGATAAGTGGGATACAAAGTTGATTATAAACTTTTACTTATTGTATTTAAAGCCCGAGAAGATATGTAAAATTCAATGAGATAAATATGAAAGAAGGCTGGTTTGAGATTTGCTCTTACAGAGCCTTTGGTCTAAGTCTAGACTTAGCTTAACTTAAATTGCCGTAAGAAATTGTCCAACACGTCAACTTAAGCCCAAAAAAGAAAACATTTTTTTTCCTGTATTCTCTTTTTCAGTTAATTCACGATTCGCCGCCTACACTGCCACATCAAAAAAATTCGTGCGAAAAAATTTGTCATTATTTTATTTTTAAACCCAAAAATCTGGCAAGCCTGATTCTCTCAACGCTCTCAATTTCCGTCTAAAAAAGCTACAGGTGTTATGTTTCTTACGGTAAGTTGAGTTTTGACCAACCGCCAACCATAGTTGGAAAAACTCCTCATTGACGAAACAATTTCCATTTTTCTCCTCACTACAACTTAACTGAAGGGCAATAAATACATGATAAAAGCATAGGAAGGTAGCACCGTTCTCTCAGTTTGTCGGCCATGATTTTTTTTTTGAAATTTGCCAGCATTTTAAAATCATATAAAACTGAAAATAAAAAAAATTAAAGTGCTCAAAAGTGTTGTTGTTTGAGCTTGAAAATGTGAATGTATGTGTGAATTTGTGATTAAATTTTAAAATTATAAAGCTTGAAAATATACTATACTATACTATACTATACTATACTATATTTTTATCATAATTTCCTTTTTAAAAATGTGAGTGATAAATATTTTTCGCAATACTTTAAAACTCGTAGCGTTGAACCTAAAAGTGATGCCAGCAATAGTACAAATAAACTTGTTTACAGGCTTTTATTATGTTCCACCTGTGTGTAATAGATTATTGCATTAAATTTTTAACTAACTTCTCGAAGGTCTACAGACTTGAAACTTCAAACTTAGCTCCGATGACAATGAAATATGAATTATTCCGCTAGGTGGCACAGGTGTCGAGATATTTGAAAACCCCGTATTTATGGTTCGGTATGGTTCATATTTGGAACTCATATTACTTACAAGAAAAGAAATATCTCCAAAAAAATTTAGCCGTTAGTTACGGGGGTAGATTTTTCCTGTTTTCACCTACCACTAATAGAAGCTTATCTAAAAAAAAAACTTTTTTTAAATTACTTGCAACAAATACCTCATGCAAATTCATGAGTTCGCCAAATATTTGAGGAGTTTATAGTGAAGAGAACCTAAGTAACGCTAGCGCTCTTCACTTTAAAATAAAATTGAGTGTTCTTAAAAAATATAAATAACTCCTCAGAGCGGAAACGTGTTTTCTTGGTTTTACGATCTATTCCGTACAAACAGTTCCCAAAATATTAAATTAAGTTAAGTTAAGTAAATTAAGTTTAGACTAATTGAGCTTTAACTTGCGTGTTTTCCGAACCCGTCAAGTAATGAAGATTTCAGCTCCTCTTCTTCTCCAAATAATTTTTTAGGAACATTTGCAAACTATGAGCATATTAACAATTTTAAAATAGGCCTCCTTTAGATCAGCGCAGCTTCAGCCCCAATGCATACATACTATAAATAAATTCCTTAAGGTAGCAATTGAATGCATTAAATGGGTTCATTAGATACAATTTGATGGGTCTGGCACGATATGTCGAAATTTAAAATGTTGAAACTAAAAAAAAAATTAATAAAATATTCGAGAAAAATGTATGCAAAACAAAGAATGTCGTGAAAAAAATTTGAAAAAAAAGTCGAAATAATCAGCCGTATGCATAAAAACTAAGCAATTACTTTTTCTTTTTTTCTTAAAATTTCATACCTTTCACTTAAATTTAATTGAACAAATCGAGTGAAAGGTCTGAAATTTTGAGAAAAAGCATTTGCTTAGTTTTTATGCATATGGCCCAATGTCATGAATGTTGTGTAAAATACGAGCGAATTTTTTATTTCGATCAAAAATGTGTTCGGTGTTATCAGGGTTTTAATGGTTCGTCATTTTAAGTTTTGACATACCGTTCCGATCCCGCTTTGACACCAAATTTAATATCGTCCAATCAACATTAATTTTCGTTCGAAAAGTACTCATGATAGCAAGGACTTCTATTAATTATTTATCTCCTACTATCGTCAGCAGTTTCGAAATAGTATTGCAAGCCTGTAAGCCGCTCTTGAGCCAGTTTTTTTTTATATATACCTGGCCCTCGCATTATTTTACAAAACATCTGACATAGCTAGCGTATGTATACTGAATCTAATACTTTTAATAAATTCGCACAAAAACAGTTTCTTTCCAAAAAATCAAATTGTTCCATTATGTTTTATGCTCTTTGCCTAACAGCCTCGGGAGCTCTATTGATATGACTGACAATTTCCAAATTTTAGTGAAGAAAACGAACTCACTAGCTAAAGTGGTTTATCACGCTGGTAGCAAGCAATTGATAATGGTCCGTACATCCTCAGTGATTGCTATAATAGTTTAACCCTGCTTGCTTTAGCAATTTACATATGGGCATTCCCATGGTGGCGCACGTGACAGTCGTACGATTTCAATGTGATACAAAAAAGGAATACCATTTGTTTTCTTTAACTTTTTTGGGCCATTGTATAGCACATAATTAGCTCTATATTTAACCGAAAAATGAAATCAATCGAACTGCTTGGTCCTGAAATATAAGCATTTAAAGAGGGTGTCGTTACGTGACAAAAAATGGAAGTTGATTTTTTCTTTTCTTACAAAATCGCAAAACTCTGCGAATTGTGGATGCCTATTTTGATGAAACTTATTTTGATATGATTTGGAGCAATTCTAGTTGTTTTTAGAGTTTTTTGAATTAATGCAAATTGTTTCAATTCTCTTTTACAACCCCAAGTGTGAAACGTGACGTGACGTGGCGTCACGTGACATAAATTTCCATCGTTATGTTTTCGTTAATATTGCTTTTAAATGAATTTTTAACGCAAATGAAACATGCATTTTATGTAGAATATACTTTATATTTTGACTTCAGCGCCAATTCAGGGTCAATTTATTCGAACCAAATCGGACCATAAATACGGTTTTTTGAAATATCTCGACCTTGGCACCACCTAGGAAGACCATTTTATGCAAACATGATTCTTCTTACATAGCCAGTATATATTTTAAAATGCAGACCAATCGGCCCGTAAATACGTTAGATATACAACTTTTATTTTTTTTGTCGTGGTGGACCTTCCGCTGCAAACACCCATATCTATTTAATAATGTAAATGTACTATATAAATGACTATTTTTTATTTATTTTTCAGACTTACTGCATGGCCGACTATGATATCTCCAGCATAGAGCACGAATCACTTCTGTTCGTAGTTGCGTCTACATTTGGCAATGGAGATCCACCAGAAAATGGCGAGGTGAGTGTACTAAAAAATTTTAACATTAAAGCGGGCAAGCCTTTAACGGCATGCCAGCAAGTGTTGGCTGCAAGCTGTTCCCAAAGAAAAGCAAAACAAACCACATTGTTTTGTACGCAGCACCACTGCGTATACGCAACGTCAATTTGCTTGCATTTACACTCTGACACTAATGAGCTGCTAATGCCTGCCAGTTGCATGCGACTAATGACACGTTTTTTGTTTTTGTTTTTCCTTTTTTCTCATGCTTTTTTTACGTCGCACTTTTGCTTATGCTTGCTTTGCGATTCGTCATCTCTGCCATTTGTCTTTCAACTGCAACTCCGCTTCAACTGCCAACTACTTACTTCAATTGCTTCATCATGGCTACTTTGCGTGTGAATGCGCACTTCTTCATTTGCCTGATTACAGCTGTTCTCGCAAGATTTGTATGACCTGCGTGAAAATGCGGAAACGGCCAAGGATAAAAGGTAAGCGTTTTTTCTAGTTATTGCTTAGTTACTTTGGATTTTTATAGATTTATAAGGTTGAGGCTTTAAGAAGGATCAAAAACATTTTGTAGTGAGTTGGAAAAATTAAAATAAAAAAAATAAAAAAAATATTGGCATGAATCATTGTTAATCAAATGAAAGATTCATGAAACCAAAAATTTTAAATTTGCAGATAATAATCAGTTTCAAATCTCAGTTTGTGGTAAGGAATCTTGGATAAGGTTACCATCTTATTAAAAAATTACAATCAATTTAGATAATTAAACATTGATAGTTAAGCATAAATTGCCTCAAATCTCTTTGTTACATAAACATACATACATACATATGTGTGCCACGCATTGTTATTGCACTTAATTTAAAAGAGCAAAAAAATTAAAATACGAAAAACCACATGCCATTCATTTTGCAAAACATTTTTACATATTTGTGAATATACTGCTTGATTTTTATTCTCTTCGGTGGCTTTGCCCGCTATTCGAGACTCTGTAAAATTGTTCTGCCATCCTTTGTTGCCGCATTGTTTTGCAGCGAAATGTTCTGATTTTTTGGGCAACACTTTTAACTTCAACCTTGTTACCTCAACACTGACCACGCCGCACTCACTTTGCCCAATTTCACCTCAGGCCGCAATAAAACAAAAGTTCACTTTTACTCCCAGCCAGCTGCCCAGCTGATCCACGTACAAGCGCATAAAAAAACGAGAAAAAACTGTGGACCACAGTGCATTTCCGATTCACCAACTTACACACATACGCAGTCATGCATGCATACATACATACATATGTACATATATGTTGGAGTGTATGAACAATCGCACATTTGTCCGTCATTAAATGACCTCAAGGCCAGCTGTGAGGGTGCGTTTTACAGGATATATTGCGGGGAAACAGTGAATATGCTTTGTACATGATTCGGAATTTTTTTGCGAAGTTCCCTTTTTCCCCCTATTCTTTTTTTTCATTGGTTTGCTGTAATTTTGTGCGTTTTGGCCGGCGGTCGCATGTTTTTTTGCCGTGTATCACATGGCAAATAAATAAATATATATATTTATCGCAGCTATGTTGCTTTCCTTTATCAGACATCACGCCAGTATCATCAGCGACACCAGCAGCAACAACAACCCAGTGGGAAAAGTCGTAATGCATTATATGAGTGATACATAATGTAATGTATTTCTTATGAGTTCTCGATAATATTACTGCTAACTATGTAATCAGCATTGTAATGTATCCAAAAAGTCGTAAAAAATTCATACTAAATCACATTCATTCCGGCATTACTGGTAAGGCCACAATGAATGCCCCACTTTCTTAGGACATCGCCGTGCATTTTCGAATGTACATAAAAGCCAGTCAGTAGTAATGCATTACATGCGTGATAAATAATATAATGTATTTCTTATGAGTTCTAGATTCTATTACTGCTTAATATTTAATCAGCATTGTAATGTATTCAAAAAGTTCCAAAAATTTCATATTAAAATACATTCATTTCTCGATACTAGGTAATCCAAAAGTGAATGTCCCACTTTTCTTAGAACATGGCCCTGGGGGAAAAATGCATTTCCGAATGTGAAAGGATTGTTTTACTGATTATTTTTTCGATTAATATACATTACATTTTCCCACTGGGAAGTTGTAAGTGTTGGTTGCTCAGCTGTCCGCACAATGATAATGCTGTTGATAATCGCTGTCAGCAACCGCTGCAAGCGTACAATGGTGAATGGTTAAACACATATATATGTATGTATGTATGTTGGATACACCCAGTAGAAATTTTATGCATACGACGCCGCTGGTGGCATGAACTTGCTGCTGTGTATGCATACTCTAACCATACACTTGTACTACTGCTGTATGCATATGGCTGTATTAATGTTTCAAACATACAAAAATGCATTAATTGAACAGTATTAATGCATTCTTAAAATCTATGTATCCTCATATGTAAATGCTACTTATCTAATACATTTGAACAACGTACATTCGCTTGCAATTCGCTAGAATTTGAATTTATTTGTGCAAATTCATGACTACGTATGAATTGTTCACACTAATTCTCTCATATAGCAAGCCTTCTTCATAAATGCATACAAGCGACTGGGTATTTATATACATATGTGTGTATGTATGTGTACTATATGTAGTTCATACAAGCTCTGGTGGAACAATCAAATAATGAGGCACGATTTTTCAAACTAGTCATATACATATCTACTTACTCACTCTTACTCTGTATGTTACTCTGTATGTTACACAGAGGCACCAACAGTAGCTAGTAATTTTTTATAGATGTGTCTACAAATGAGGCCATGCTGGCAGAAGAAGAAGCCTAACCCAAATTTTTATTTAATTTTTTTTTTTGTACTTAACTTCTTAAAATAGTTTGAAACGTGATTTTAAGGTAAAGTTCGCTTATTCCTTAATTTGATGGTAAGTTATGTAGCTCTATACTTTAAAATTAAAGAATAAGCGACTGTCATTTAAAAGTTTATCTCATTTGAGACTAAGAAGGACACAAACAAAAATTTGCTATCATTTTGAAAGTGGCACTTCGTACCTCTTGTCTCTTTTAGAATAAAAAATAAAAATAAATAATAAAAATTTCAAAATCTCTGCTCAAAATTTACAACTTGAACAACGTAATTTGAGCCCAGCTTATTCTTTTGAAGCACTTGATGGAAATGAATTATACTTATATTAATCGATTTATTAAGAGAATACGAATAAAATGATATATAAAACATAGGTGTGCTCACAAATTTAAAAATTAAAAATTTTTTTTGGAGGTCTACCTATTTTTTAGATTTGCCCATATACATATAAAATATATTGGACGGCGAAAGTCAATAGCATTCTTGCTAGTGAAGTAGGCCGCTACACCCAGCTCATATCTCTTCTTCATGTTCATGTGATCTTTTATTTTGTCCAAGCAGGACTACATACAAATAAACTCTGTATTAGATTGATAGATGTATAGATTTACACAAAAATAAATTCCGAAAGTTCAAATACTGTGGCACCGTCAGAAGTAATTCAGTTATTTACATATATCCTAAATTTAATTAGGTTATGTTGTAAGCTAAGTATCTCCGCGTTCATCATTATTCATCTTAATTTTGTTCTCATTCTCTTCCGACAGTGTGGATATTACATCACCGAAGGTCCAACGCCTGAACCTGGATGAATTGAAGAAAACTGAGCCGCTAAGAAAATTAAAGTAAGTAGTCTTGCAAATATTTAAACGAGACACAATGTAAGGGGGAGGGGAGATTGTATTCGTCTTTCCTTCTAATTGTGGGCGGCCATGGAAATTTATTGTCTAGACGCATGTTTTCTCCAATAGAGCCTAGACAAGCATTTTGCTTTAATAAATAAGAGAAGCATGCACCTGGCTCTACGAGGACAATGTAAACTATTCAATAAGGCTTACATCCTCACTATATTTTCGCATGCCAAAGTAAAAGACGCTTTCTCTCTAATATATTGAAACTTAACAAAAATATCCCTATCCATGATTACCTACTTAAAAGAAACGTGCTAGTCCCTCCACCCAACTTCAGCCCTAAACTAATTAATTATGAATTCAACATCTTTCTGTTCTTCCCTTACAGCTTCGCCGTTTTTGCGCTTGGCTCGAGCACCTACCCGAACTTCTGCGCCTTCGGTATCTATTTGGACCGAATTATTGGTGAGCTCGGCGGGCAGCGCCTTTTCGAGGTCACCTGCGGTGATGAAATGTGTGGCCAAGAGCAAACTTTCCGCAAATGGGCACCTGAAGTTTTCAAATCTGCTTGCCAAACGTTCGATGTAGACTACTCAGAAGGCTTGTCGGATGCGTTCCACGACGACACGCTAACCGCCAGCACAGTGCGTATGGTGCCATCACAGCGCGAGGGCACCATCGACCAGCTGCTTTCGAAATATCACAACAAGAAGGTGCAACGCTACAAAATGAAGTCTGCACCGCGCAATCTAACCAAACTTGCCGAAGATGACAAACCGACCATTTTAGTAGAAATCTATGCGCCTGGTTTGGATTATGAGCCCGGTGATCATGTTGGTATATTCCCGGCTAATTCTACGAACATTGTGAATGGTGTTTTGGAACGTTTGACCGGTTTCGAGGACCCCGATGAAGTGCTGCAAGTGCAGGTGATGAGGAAGAAGAAGACACCCAACGGCACCTTCAACTGCTGGGAACCACATGACAAAATACTCGCGGAAACGCCACGCGGCCTATTGACACAATTCTTTGACATAACTACGCCTCCACAGCTGGAGCTGCTAAATTTGCTGGCCGACTTCTGCGACGACAATTATGACACAGAGCGTCTGCAGAAGCTGGGCACAGACAACGCTGCCTACGAGGAGTGGCGCCAGTTGTATTTGCCCACTCTACTCACTGTATTGGAACAATTCCGTTCATGTAAGCCACCCGCCGGTTTGCTCTTCGGCAACCTCATGCCTTTACAGTCGCGTTTCTACTCCATCTCCTCATCGCCGCGTAAGGTTATTAACGAAATCCATTTGACTGTGGCCGTTGTCAAGTACAAGAATCAACGCGGTAACGAGCGTTTTGGCGTTTGTTCCAACTACCTGACCAACATGAAGGAGCAGGAGCCATTGTACTTCTTCGTACGCAGTGCACCCGGCTTCCATTTGCCCAAAGACTCCTCAGAGCCGATGGTGCTTATCGGACCTGGCACTGGCATAGCGCCATTCCGTTCCTTTTGGCAAGAGTTGGAGGTGTGGCGCGAATTGAAGATGCAACGCTCAAAGGTGTGGCTCTTCTTCGGTTGCCGTACGCGCGAGATGAACTTGTACGCAGAAGAAAAGGCGCTGTTGGAGCGCGAAAAGATCTTAGATCGCGTATTCTTGGCGCTGTCACGTGATCTGGAGATACCAAAGGTGAGTGCTTTAAAGATATTTAACTTTAGTTTGAGCATTAGACTTCGTTTCATTTTCTTTTGTATAGAACTGCATAACACGCGTGCCAATTTTTACTTTTCCAAAACTCTTGTTTAAATCTGTTTGCCTAACTATTCATTTTTTTCGCATTTTCTCTTCCATTTTTCAGACTTACGTTCAGCACCAGATTGAAAATGAATTTGATTCTCTCTACCAACTGATTGTCGAAGAGCGGGGACACATTTACGTTTGCGGTGATGTCACAATGGCTGAGGATGTCTGTGGGACAATTAGGTGAGTGGATGACGCAAATTGTCGCAATGAATGTGGTGAATTTAACATTCATTGCCGGTAAGCACTGTCGTTGTGGGTGTTAACCTTCTGGCGGTGATTAATGGTTTCTTAGCCACAAGGTTGATATTAAATAGAAGGCAATTTTTTACCTTTGAGTGGTTGAGAAAATTAGCAAAAAAAAAGTATGAATATGAATGAAGGTGTTTCAGCAGTTATTTAAGAAAAGCATATTTTTGGATTCATAGTGAATCTAAGAATCCCTGCAGTGAAAAGCAAAGACTGTGAGAAAACATACTAATAGAACAACTGATAAAAATCGAACAGTCGATAGCGATATATAGACTTACTTACATATTTTCCATACTAAACTGGTTGTTCCACAATTTTCATACACATTTAGTCGCGAAGATTAGTGTAACTAGTTTGAATAATTTCTTACGAATGGGTTCTATTTATTTCTAGTTTACTCTTGTGACAGTGGCAAAAACTTCTTTCAGAAACATGTTTGACCTCATAGTTACTATTTCTTACCTAGCTGCATACATACCATCTATATCTCGACATCCATTAATTTCTGTTTTTATTTTCTTTCTTGCATTTCTCGGTTTGTCGTTGCTTTAACAGGAAGTGTATTGCTGCAAAGGAACAAAAAACTGAAACGGAAGTGGAGGCGTTTTTGCTAGCATTACGAGTAAGTACACTTAGAAAGAGTGCATGCATACTACATTCGTGCCTACATAGTAAGAATATGTTTGCGAGCGCATACTGGTAAGAAAAGGACAACTATTTTTGCACCTACGGCATTGGAACAAAGTTGAGGTTATAATTAGCATTAATGTCATTTTTGGCGGCAAAAATTGTATTCGTGGATTTTTTTATTTTACCTTACTATAAAATTTTCTTTAATCTGTCTTATAAACGGACACCTTAACTGCAATCGCTGGTTTGCAGTGGTGTCTTCGTTGCGAACAAATGTGCGACGTTTCCACTGCATTCTAAGTATTTCTTATTCAAAGAGGTCAATGCAAGACAGCTAAAATTTTCTGGCTGAAACGAAAACGCCATAATCTTACTTCTTCGACTGTAGTTTCTTTAGTTTACTTACTCACTTAAGGCATTTACTTTGCATAGTTACTGAAGTACTGGTGTTGCCGATAAGACGAAGGAAACTAAATTCAGTCAAAGAATAACAGAACTTAACTGATGCGCAGCAAAGTTTTTTAAAAATAAATTACAATTTATCAACATATCTTGGAAAATTTGCTGAGCTCCAGCATTTTCTTGCTGCAAATATTATTCAGTTATATTTGTCGCAGGCATTTGTATTTCCATTTCTGATCTACAATATAAAAAACAGGCTGTTAACTTTATTTTACAAGTATAATTGCATTGCAGTAATTCGCAAATTAGTAAATTTGAAAAGCTTAGAAATAATATTTTATAGAAACGGATTCAAGTAGCAATTTCCATTTATGCACCTGAAGCTAGTAACTTTTTCCACTTTAGTTAGAAGTTTATAAACTTGAGAAAAAGCTGGTCACATGGATCCACCCTTCTCCGCAAAAATTGGTTTTATGTTTTCCACACAAAAATTTTAAATGGCGCAATAAAACCATAACGGCTTTATTTACATTTCTATTTGGAAATAAGGCGGTCTCGAAAGTATGGTTTTATTTCCAATTTCCAAGCGAAATAAAGCTATTATGGCCTTATTGCGTATGGTGTGATTGCATCCCACCATCCTCAACTACCTTAGGAAATTCCATAGCTAGTTAGGTGACACCGAGTACATGCGAATGGCCTAAATCGTTAGACCAGATCCGGGTTTGTGTACATAGGTGACTTTTTAATCCTGCTGTTGTTTACATCGCAGCCTACGCGGTTTATCAGCATCTATAGCTCCATCGCCGGCATGCTCTTATTGTCTTCCGGGAAATATGCAGCGGCAAAGACGATGTTCGTAAACGCTCCTGACATTATCGTCTTCGTCTGGATTGCTACCAAATCTAGACTTAAAAATTCCGTAATTCTCAAGTAAGCACAATGCACGCTCTGGTTCTCTAATTTATTATTAAAATCTCTTAAAACCATTACGTGACCTTTGTAGACCAACGGCTTCTGAAACCGTTAGGTACGATACTCAGAACTAATGTGTATCTGGGCTAGGATTATATTTAGTGGGTTGGCTGGTAATTTTTTGCCTGGCGTATAGCTCGAGCTTGCAAATGTCTAGTCGCCCCATTAATTGCTTGCTCACTTCGCTGGGCGTGATCCTACACCCAGGTGGGATCGGCTCTGCTCTCTTATTCATGTCGTGTTGTAAGATGCCCCGGTCTATCTGCATCTTTTCCAACGCAGGCATGGTGTCTCTGGGTACTTACCCGCGCTACTCGAGTGGAAGCCCGTCGTAAAACACAAAATATAAACGATTCTTTTGGATTCTGCAATCCTATTTTATTTACCGATATTTTAAGTTTCAATTATTCTACTTTATTTTCTAAACATCTACCCTTTTTATTTATTTATAGCACGAAAACCGCTATCATGAAGATATTTTCGGTATAACCTCACACGCAGGGGAGGCGCGCAATAGATCAACTCTTCAATGGGGCTCGCGAACACTGAATGCCTTGTAAGCATGCTTTTAACGCTGGATCACTGGATTTAATTAAGTGATTAAAAAATAAACACATCAAAAGCTGAGGAGTGCTGGACACTATTTCATTTTTCTGCAACGAAATTTTAGAAAATGTCCCATCAAATGCGTGACGCAAAATTAATGCCATACACAATATACATATATATGTGTGTAAATTATTTTCATTTTACATATTATAAATTATCAAACCATATTGCATTTACTTAAAATATTATTTTTATATTTAGATTTACATAAATGAATACTAAAATTATTAAAAATATTTGATACATAATTTTTGTGTTAAAGATTAATATCTTAAATTCCTAATATTTTTTTCCTTTGTATAATAGTTATTTAAGAGATATCACTAACTTTTTATAATTATCGTTCGAACATGAAATACTCATCAGTTTTATACACACATTTTTTATTATTGCCTCTATATATATAATATATTCATATATATGTATTTCTACACATATTTCAGGTATTGCATCACAAATGTAAACGCAGCAATAAGCAAATAAAATAAAAATATTAAAAATATACCATTCCTCTTTGATTTGGGCATTTCCATGTTAAAGAAGAAAACGACATAAATTTTAAAATGCGCTAATTACACTGGACCACAAATTTCAACTTTTTCTCTTTACCAGAAACGCCGTTATGAAATACTGATGTAAAATCACCCCCTGATTCCGAAAATCAAGGTTATTTTTAATTCTATGGTACCGTTTTTGAGATATTTGCAATTTACCGTTTTTGCAAAAAAAAAAAATTGGGTCCACTTTATCATATATATCTCAAGAACGAATTAAGCAATTCCAAAACGGTTTGAAGCCTTTAAAAGGTAATAAAATTTTCTATAAACTGTGCATACAACACTTTTTGCTAGGCCCTGTAGATTCAAAGATAACGAACAATCATTACCGATTTTTTAAATTTTTTTTGTAAAAATATAAAAAAAATTGTACTTTGCGGGGAAGGATCTCGAAAACCTTTTATTTTTTTTTCTCCCTAAGCTCTGTTGTATTACAAAAAAAAATAAGCTATCATCGAAGAAAATCGATGCAAAACTACGTAAGTTATAAGCGATCAAATAAAAATACCCAGGTTGTGCAACTTCAATGTATGTACCTATACATACATACATATATTAAAGGTATAAAGTGCAAGTGAGATATTATCCGGATAAACGAATAACACCATAACAATGATAACACTTTTTCTTTAAATAAATCAAATAGTACTTTTAATACTCGAATTGTATTATAGTAGGTAGAGTGGTTGCATCGAAAGGAAGAGTGGTTGGGTTCGAAACCTGCTGTAGGCATGTAGTTATAAACATGTATTTCCGTCAGTTATGGGTAAGTATGCAGGTAGATTTTCAAAATTATAAGACACAGAAAATTTCTAAAGCCTACATCTAAAACAGGTAGTATTTTCTTTTCCCGGCTTGTTATAAAAAGGAACCTTTCTGCCTAGGTAAGATTTGATTTTTTCAATTTTATTCTTGTTCCGAGTATAAATATGAGTTAATGCGCTTTGAAACTTCATAACATC